GTGCATGCCCAATCCATCTCCACTTCTACTTCCTTCCAGTGCATATTTCTTCAGCAGTAGATTCTTGCTTCGTTGGTTCGTTGCCAGCCAGCCAACCAGAGTTCCTTGTTGCTTATTCTCATTATTCTGGCCATCTCATCTGATCTTCAGTATGGAGTGAGCGTTAGCGGCAGCTGTTGATGAATATCTGTAGTTTGTTGGAAGTGCTTTATGTGACGCGTCAAGTTTCTGAACCATATAGGAGCACTGACTTGATATTGGCGTTGAAAATCCGGACCTTGTTCATGCTTTATGTTGAGTGCAGAAGATCTCCACGCTGGTTTCAAATTAACAAAAGCCTGTCTTGCTTTTCCGATCCTGGTTTTGACATCCTCGTCTGTGCCTGTGCCGCCTGTAGTTGAAACGATGCTGCCCAACCTAGGTAGGTGAAAGAGACCATTTCCTTTAGGTTTCTCCCGTTAATGGTGATTGATGCTTGTTGTTGATGCTGTTGTTGGTTGGGTATCTTCATCACCTCCGTCTTCTCTACATTCACTTGAAATCCCATTTTCCCTGCCTCTTCTGTCAACCTGTTAGTTTTTGCTTGTAGATCTTCGAGTTTGTGCTACAAAACACTAGACACAAATCATCGTCGTTGGTGAAATCCAGATCTTCTAGGGTCTTTTTCTTTTCATCGGTCAAACAGCGTGTACTGTTCTTCTTGCTCCTCACAGTCTGTTGCGTGATCCAGTCCAATGCAGTCGACTACAATCAGGAATATCATGGGTGATAGCAGGCAGCCTTATCTTGTCTTGCTCCTGTCGTTACTTCAAAGGCATCACTGGGCTTCCAATTGTGGATCACTTGGCATGTGGCATTTTCACATAGGTATTGAATGAGGTTGATGAAGATTTGTGGTACTCCGTAGTGTTGAAGCAGCTGCCTGGCAAATAACTTCTCGGTCGACGCTGTCGAAGGCCTTTTCAAAGTCGATGAAGTTAAGGTAGACAGCTGACTACCATTCTATACCCTGTTCAATAATGATGCTTAGCGTAGCGTTGCAATTCGATCCGCACATGATTTCTTCTTCCTGAATCGAATCAGCCTGTTCCAGTTGTAATTTTGAATCCAGAGCATATTTTAGTCTTTCCAGGATGATGCGACATAATATTTTGTTTGGGGTTGACACGAGCATGATTTCTCGCTAATTCTTGCAAAGGCTTAGGTCTCCCTTCTTTGGAAGTTTGACAAGGTAGCCCTTCTCATCACACAGTATATACTCATTGTATTAAGGAAAATAATTCAGCGAAAACAACATGGAAGTTGGTCTCATACAAATCTATGGAAATGATTACTTTGTAGACTGATGATAACGAGAGCAGACTGTATAATAATAATAATAATAATAATAATAATAATAATAATAATAATAATATCAGTATTCGCTTTTACATCAAAAGCATTAATTCTATACATTAATCATATAATCATCATTATTCTAATCTAAGCAACATAGTTCATAAAACATTTCAGAAATATATGCACGTAGGTTGTGAACTTGAAAATAGCGCATAATCAACACTCATAATTTTCGGTTTTCAGCATACAGACGGAATTTTCTTCTTCTCCAGTTTATATATGTGTTTTACTAATTCGTAAAGATGGTATGAATAATGTGACCTACAAGAAAGGGTCACCTACCTATTCTATTGAATCTATCTTGATAAATTATTAAAGATTTCTGACATCATTTCACATTGATTATAACTTCGCTTACAGTGCTAATATGTGTTGCGAAATTATATGTAGTGAAATTGACATATTTGGTTGAACATGAAAATCTTGACAATTTTAATGTCATTAGTATTAGATATATTTGTTTCATTGAATTTTCCCAGTTGTGTAGGCAAATATGACTACAGGAAATTGTGAAGAGCAAAATCGAAAAAACCAGGTAGGTTTTAGAACTGAACAACAGTGCATCGATCATATTTTCACCCTACGACAAGTTCTGAAACACAAACATACCTACTGACCAGCACCCGTCACTTTACCTGAAGGTCGGTGGCATTTGACTTTGTCGACCATGAGCTGTTGTTGCAGTGTATGACTGTGAAAGAAGTACTCAACAAGTATATCACGTTAATCAAAGCTCTGTACTCGGATTTATGCAACCATGTAAGAGATCATCAAGACTTGTCATAGGAAATGATGATAACTAGTGGTGTCCGCCAGGACTGCTCACAGACATCGTTCCTGTTCAACTTCGTTATAGAGACACTAATGGGTATAACCTTAGGTAAATCTGACTTCACAGGGATTGACCTACTCCCTGGAGGTCATTCGGTTGACTTGAAGTAAGCAGACGATATTGTCGCTCTAAAAAAAACGGTGATAACAAAGTACAGGGTCTTCTGAAAGCGTTGAGCAGAAATCTGAGGACATGTGGGATGCGGTTTGCTGTTATCAAATGTAAGATGATCCTCCACAACTGGTCTGCAACTAGACCCAGTTTAATTATAGGGAGTGAGGTGGTGAAATGTGTCGACTATTTCACTTACTTGGGAAATTGCATTAACCTGAACACGTTGGTTGCTGAAGAAACCTCATCTCGGATAGAGAAGGTCCGTTTGGCATTTGCCAACTTACGTCATCCCTGGCGCCGACTGTAGAGATATCCAATTATTTATCACTGTGCGAGTATACTGCCCGTTCTGTTCTATTATACGGCAATGAGACATGACAATTGCAAGTAGAAGATATGAAGTGGTTACAGAGTTTTCACCACAGATGTTTTCGTGGTAATGCTGAGTTCAGAAGAACGATAATAGGGAAGGAGAGGAAGTAAGTCTATGAGGTTGTGAAGTGTCATCGACTGAGGTGGTTTGGACATATGTTACGTATGGCGAGGTATCACCTACCTTAAATGTTCCGTGCTAGAGGAAGTTGGATTAGGTTGGAGGAAGGTTCAGGGTGGCCAAAAGAGGATGCGACATCAGTGCATGTAGTCTCTGACTGTTGCTCTGAGCAGCATAGGGAGGATTAGACCACTTGGCTGGGGTCTATGAGACAATAAAAATCATTGATTGAGGACTCTAAGGAGTGGTTGAAAATTCGGTCACAATGGTGAAGATTTATTCACTCTTTGATGTATTTTGATGCTTGAATGTTTTAATGAACGCTGATTTTTGAATTCGTTCTCCTACCATACAGCTTTGTCTACTTTGATATGATTATTTTTATATCCATTTGTTTCTTACATACTGATGTACAGTGTGGCAACTTGAAGTAATGCATTTGTGTGAAAGGTTCTATGTTGACTCTCTTTGCTTGTGTATTACGTGTCTGATTGGAATTCTTCAATCTGAAAGTAATGGATAGGCTAAGAGTCTTGCTGAAATGACTCAGAATGGGCCAGAATAACGAAGGTATATTCATACTCTTGATCATCTTTCAAACTTTCGACAGTTAACCAGCTGTAATTACAATCTCCTCTTTCACAAACGTTTTTCCACTTGAAAATTTATCTTTTTCGTTTCTCTTGGAGACTTTTTAAACTTTATGTTGATCTTTCTGTACGTACTTTTTCTTTGAGCTCGACTTACAGGGTAATTCCTAGGATAACTTATACGGCCGAAAAAGCGATGTAACTATGACATTATGCTTCTGCATAATCCCCGACATGCTACCTGAGTCAACCCGCCTTTAAAATATTTTTCAGCTAAAGTGATTGTTGATTATCACTTGCATGAGTAAACTAAATAAGGGAATGTGGACGTAGTCAGTCAGATATAACTCACAAGAAGCCCTGGACCTAGTCTTCGCGTTTTTTGGCACTCGTCAGCAAGGTGCATCTGCTAACTCGAGGCGACTGATGTTCCACCTAGAGGTCCGAACCCAGGTCGCTTAGTGTTATAGTCAGTGACGTTAACACTGAGATGTTCGGGTGGTGACTAACCTCCTAAAGAAATCAAGTGAATTTACAAGACCTTCTATAGATGCTTTTCATCGATTCCTGATTACCAACTACGCATTACATTTCTTCATTCTTCTTACCATAATGCGTTCCTCATATTCAAGTGAAACAAACTATATAGGCTATACTATTTGGTCAGAAGTCAACCAGTGAATGAATATTCTGCACCGTAATATTCGTTTTATAAAGAAGAGGAAAGTGTGACTTCACCTATTTGGCAGTATTAGCATTTATGTATTAGAAGGGTTACTCATTTATAGTTCTATTGGGAAGCGATGAATATAGGTACTACATACATAAAAATAGTTTTTATTTTAGCCAAGATGGAATGTGAAGATTCAATTCATTCTTGTTTTGTGTCGAAGCTGTTGACAGTACTACCTAGAGGAATTACTAAAAACCATCTGTATATAATGTATGACAAAGAATTGCAATGAATTACAACATATGTTTCGTAGTTACTTACAATCACTACGCAATTATTTACTTTGAAGAAATTCTTTTTTTAATTCCTATTTTTGTCTGATCACTCATATCAATATTGAAATAATAGTTATAGAATGGAAACCTTTTGTTTCGTAGTTTATCAACAAAAAAAATCATAACAAAAGATCATGATTTTGTCAATAAATGAATTTGACTGAGCCACACAACAATAGATGTCAAGATAAGGGCGGCATCGTATGCTTGCATATTGTCAGGTATATCATGGTATATATATATATATATATATATATATATATATATATATATATACATATATATGTATATATATATATGTATACATATACATATATATATATACATATGTATATATATACATATGTATATACATATACATACATATATATGTATATGTACATATACATATGTACATATACATATATATATATATGTACGTATATATGTATACATATACATATATATATATATATGTACATATATATGTATATATATATATATATATATATATATATATATATATATATATAGCAAGTATCGAAATATATATTTGATCGTGTATATATTTTTTTAAAACGCCTACCTGTTTAGTGCCCAGTACTTTTGTAAACAACCTATGAAACGATTGATTATTTCCATCACCAGCAACATTATATAATTCTTCTAAACGTTCACGTGTTAGAAATCGTTGAATTCTTAGACCTTTAGTAAGTAATAATTGAACAAACTCCAATCGATCATTTAGTAAAGCGTCAGCCATAGCATTTTCAAGTGTAGTTTTCTATAAGTAAAATACAATAAATTATCATCATTGAGTAGACACATAAGAATAACTTAAGGATTATTGGATAACTTAGTGAAAATGGAACACTGACGACAGTTTGTATATAATATTTAACCACCACCACCACCACCAATAAGCCAGTAGTATGTTATTGAATACAACTGCAAACCGCTTATTTGCAGTAATTGTAACCCTCATAAGTGATCCAGTCAATATAACCATATTGACGCCTAGTTTACTGCAATACATGATGGATCTCGACAATTTAGCTCACAAATTTGATGCTGTCGACTCTCTCTCTCTCTTTCTCCCTATCTATGATAGAAATGATCACTAACTAAAAGCCTAACTGAATATATACCGAGAAAATCAACCGTTATCCAACGGATATATGCATAGATCCCAACAATATCAAAATTCCACAGCCTTCTTGTACCCATCTTTTTGAAAGGTATTCCCCCCGTTGTAAAACGAATATATAGTATTCGTACATAAATTGAAGCAATTCCCTATTATAACTCCCTACCATGGTCATATACAATTATGATTGGATAGTTTAGATGCCTTGACTTTTAAACCACTACGTTTTGATGTTGAACGGCTAAATCTATGAATATTAAGATATTGCATACTTTTCTTATAAATAAGATCTGTGAATTACTATCTGTTATACATAGTGCACATATGTATCTATAATCACAGTGAAATAAATAATCATAGAGTTGTGGAATTTTATTTCTATTGCCTTAATGCCAAATATTATTTTTAATATGACACATGGGAATGGTGTTAGAAGTACAGAAAACAAGTTTCAGAACTATGGACAGAAAATGTTTAGTAGTCGAATCCCGAATTAAAATTTCATCTTATATGGGACTCACTCATTAGTTGTGCACACCAATCTCCCACTGTGACTTAGGAAATTAAAGGCTGAAAAATCAAGTTTCAGTACTATTTGATTATTTCTGTGATAGTGTAGAAAACGACAAGACGGAGATGAAGGAAGGCATGCATATTATTGACACTATCGAATATAGTACACTTTCCAATAAAACCATTATACTTCATTTCCTCTTCCGGTTCTATCTTGATTTACTCTTAATATGCGTGCATTAGCTCTTAGGTTGTTTTGGACACAATCTTTACTCGTTGCTGGCAGTTTGCTATGATTTCTGCCATCCTCTCAATGCATACTACTTATATCCATTCTGATAAGCAACGCCCACTATAATAATACTGGAAAAACACCAACTTATTTAAAAATTGAAATACTACTGAATTCTTCTATCGGATAAATAAACTAATCCGGAATAATTTTACATTTTTTAAGATACATCATTTCAATTATCAATACTACTAGGTAATGATAAAGATATTCGGTATACAGGTTAAGAAACGTGTTGTATATACAAAGTGTGCTTTCAAAACGATGTAAATATTCTTTCGAATTTCTACTTTATTTATGAAAAACAGGTTCATTTAAAAAAAAATAAGGTGGCAATAAGATTTGTTTTGCATTTTCAAACGAATTTATGATTCCTGAGAGTTATACGACTGTCTGGAGAGGGTCGAGTAAGTTGTCTGACAGTTTGTATTTTTATGAACGTATTACACAATCCACAAAAATGGAATATATGAAAAGGTTACAGACTATATATTATTGAATAAGGGGCTTAAATCTCACTCAACAATTACACAAAAAGGTGACCACTGAAGATGGACGGTATTAAAGGATGAAGGCTATGGATTTAATGTGTCTCCATAGCATTGATGCATTGTGGTGGGACTGCATGGTGAGAAACATCAAGGTTAGATACAGTGCTAGGCATAAAAGGTGGATAAGTTGACAAGGCAATCGTGCCACCGCGACTGAGTTTGGTGTTTTATCTATTACTTTTACTCAGCCACCATTCCTCTAAAAGTCCGATGCTCAGTTAAGTGCGTCTGACAGTTAGAAAGGTAAACGTGTACCTGTAACTTTGTATTCCAGTTACTCATTTTCGATAAAGTGTCTATCACTTGCATTAAAAAATCGTACTATATGAATACAGGATAAGTAGGTCAGAGGGTAGAAAATGAATGAACAACAAACTTGTATGAACAAAAAATTGATGAAGATAAGACAGCCAGACATCCAGTGCTGTCAATAATAATATAATATTAATGTGGCAATAATAATAATAACAATAATGAAATTGTCGAATAAAGTGAAACAAAACTGACTTTAAAGAGTATTTATTGTAAGGAGTTTTAAGAAACTCTGAGAACACTAAGTTCCCTCTTCTGGTCATTTGCTATTAGAACTAATATTATGCACACAGTTCAAGTGAATACAGTACATATACAAGGAACTGAATAACTCGATTTAACATTATCTTCATAGATAGAAGTTGATGTTGTTCTGTGTTCAGTTTTCAAAAACTGAATAGCCTTATTTTCTGTAGCTTGTTACCACAGGATGTATTTATATGAAAAAAAAGTCAACATACATAGGTGAATCACCTCAGGTTGCCACACTTCACAGTACTACACAAACAGCAGGTGGAGAGAAAACGAGTGATATCAAAATAGATAAAGTAGTGTGTAAGAATAAATGATCTGAAGATAAAGGTTAGTGTGAGTATTCAAGTCAAGGAGTGAATATATCTGCACCATTATCCCCGATTTCCAGTCATATCACTAAGGGTTCTCAACCACTGATTCCTCTCATGTCGGGGACCTCAGCCAGGCAGTCTACATCTCCCACCACGACTCAAACCAATAGTCAGGGACTTCATGAATTAGTGTCAGGTCTTGGGTCCGGGCACCCTCAACACTTTTCTATAATAATATAACTTCTTTTACCATGGCACTCTGAGGTAGGTGGTAACTCGGCATGCACAGTACATGTCCAAGCCATCGCACTTGACTAACGTTTGTAACCTCCTCAATCGACTCGCCTATCTTACCTAATACCTTTCACCTGACCTCAACATTACTCACATGGTGATTTCATCATACACGAGCAATGCTATGAAGATATCTTTAGTTGAAAAACTGTAACTGTTTCATGTTTCCTACTTTTAACAGCATCCAGAAAAGTCAGCTTCATAGTTGCACATAAAGAACACTCAAAGTATAGTAATGGTAGAAATTATATTCTTTGGAATTTAGTATAATACACTTCGATTTATACATAAGCTAATTTCGTTAAACACATTGTCGAATCATGCATTGATTTGTAGAAAATAACAGATGTAAGCTAGTAGAATAGATCATCTTGACTTTATTTAATTTAACAAGTAATCGCTATGCAGTTCAATCAATTATATGATACAAATCTAGTGAATAAATTTCAATCTGATCGAACTACTTAGCAATAATTGCACTAACAAAGTTCAATTGTTAACAACAAAGGAATATAGTTCAGTGTTGATTATATTCATTTCATTTGTATGCATAGAAAATGGTTTACATATAAAAACACGTTAGTATTTGTATTACTACTACCAAAAGAAATACGGAGGTTTTTACTAGTACATAAAAATACATTTTAACTGAGGCAAACTTGTTTAATATAACAGATTAATAGTTTTAAGCCTTTTATGCATATGAAAAATTATACAGTAGAAGAATATGGATACTGACAGACCTTCATTCCATTTTACTCTGATTATCAGACATACAATGAAACAGTAATAATGATTAAATAAAATTCGATATACTATTTATTATTTATGATACAGTTAAGGCAATTATACAACTTGATGAATTGATTTTCATGGCTGTACCCCCCTGTCTTCTATTAACACTGTTTCAATAAACCGCAATTCGGTTCTCTTTCTTCATATCCAAATGAATTCATTTTTACGATGATCAAGCTACTCGATTCTTTCTTGTAATTTGTGTAAGTAACTCATTTTTGTGCTAATCTTCTGAACTAAATCAAAACTCGTAAACTCTCGAGAAAGACAAAAAAATCTTAAGAAAAACTCAACTATAGTTGATCATGCAATAGCAATTAGTCAACAGAATCGAACTGAATAGCAATGCTAATAACTCACTTAGACGATGGAGGGGAAGAGATACACGATGGAATCTTTGACTATAAGACAAATACATACAACGAAAATGCCTAAGAAAATGTTTCATTTATCAGGAGAATTCTCCTCCCCATACCATAAGATAAAACTGCCAAAACCGTATTTCAAAGCTTTAAAAGTACATCGATATGAATTTAGACCCTGAATTTTGTTCAGGTCGTACTTGTAACTATCAAAAACACTAATGAAGCGTCTCTATTTTATAGGCACATATTTTCTTTCATAAAAACAGAACCCGTGACTATTTAGGGACTACTGGGGTGCTTTTTACGGTCACTGCAAAATAACTGTCATGTCTTATTATCCTAACTGAGTGTGCCAAAACCGATAACCCTTTATTTCAGTTAAAAAAAAGGACTCTTCAGAGTAATCAATACTACTTTTGACATAGATTCAGTACAGAATTTGTCGACACTGATTCAGGCTGTACAAATTCATTAGCCAGTCATCTAGTGGACAATTTTATATCTTTATCAGTTTGACTACGTGAGGTAGGCGTGGTTGGGCAGAGGGACTGATACTGAGTGATAATCGGAGGTGAAGTAAAAATCTGCTCAACAGATGGGTCTCAGGTCAATTTAACCTTCAGTCATCACTCAGTAGCAATTATATACGTATTTGGATAATGTAATTAGAAGTTGTAGATTATCTGAAAAACGTGATGTATTGTGCTATAAATTTCGAACAATCTGAAGCCTTAATCGGTGGGATAAACTGGACCGCAGAAAAGAACCTACAAGATTTAGATTGCGCCACCAATGACTTGTATCTAATGTCTGGTGGCACAAACGTGAAGATGTACAGGCGAAAACTAACATGTTGACAGAAGAGGCTGGGCTGGGCTGGGCTGGGCAGGGCAGGACACAGCAGCGAAGACGGGACATCCTTCAAGTGAACGTAGAGAAGACAGGGGTAGAGTTGATGAAGATACACAACAAACACCACCACAAACAACAACAACAATCATCTCCAATCACCATCAATAGGACAAACTTGAAGGAAGTAGTCTCTTTCACCTACACCTATATACGCAGACAGCAGTTTCAACTACAGGCGGCATAGGCACAGGCACAGACGAGGACGTCAAAGCCAGACAGGATTGTAAGGACAGCAAAACAGGCGTTCATTAACATGACACCAGTGTGGAGATCGACTGCACTGCACTGCACTGCACTCAGCATAAAGCATCAACAACATCCGGATACGGATCCAGATTTTCAACACCAACATCAGTCAAGTCAGTACTTCCATGTGATGGTTGAGAGACTTGGTGCTTTACGAAAGGCATTTCCAACAAACTACACACACTCATCAACAACTGCCACCTACGCTCACTCGTTACTGAAGCTCAGATGAAATGGTCTGAATAATGAGAATAAGCAAGAAGGGACTCTGGTTGGTTGGCTGGCTGGCTGATGACGAACCAACGAAGCGAGAAGCTATCGCTGAACAAATATGCAGTGGAAGGAAGTGGAAGTGGAGATGGATTGGGCATGCAGTGAGAACGCTGACTGGGGACATCAGGCGCCATGCCAGGATATCGAGTGGAATCCAGATGGGAAACGTCGAGTTTTGTGTGATAGGTGAGGGTGATATGGAGGAGATGGT